ATGCTTTCTATATCCTTTTAAATTCTGTAAAATCTGTGGTAATGTCTCCTAGATCTTGATATTGTAATTTTAAAAATGTATAATTGATATTGTGTAATAGGAAGAAAAGGTCTAGAGGAGCAGAGGAAATGGGAGGGGAAGGGGAAAGCAAAGAAGGGAAAAGAAAAAGTATGAGAACAGGAAGAAAATGGAAACAAGGTCTTTGCAAATAGGGAAGGGTGGAGGGGGTGTAGGGAGGACAGGGGAAGGGGAAAAAATAAGATACTCATGTAATGGTACAAGATCCCAATGATGAATGCAACTGTATTTTATACCTAAAATGTACCAATAAACTTAATGGAAAAAAAAATTAGAGGCACAAAAACAAAGTTAGAGGTGATGGTTCTGGCGCCTGCCTCACAAGCACAAGGTCAATCCCGGGTACCAAAAAAAAAAAAGTTAGAGGTGAGAGACTGGGAATGGATTCTCCTTTAGACTCCAGAAGGAACCAGCCCTCCTGCCACCTCGATTTCAGATTCAGTTCCCTCGACGATGAGTGAATGGGTACCTGTTGTTTTAAGTCTCTTTGCGTGGTTCTTTGTTAATTTTGTCAGGAGACAAGTACTTGTCCCATGTAAAAGCAATCTGTGCAGGGCCCTTGCGAAGGTTTCTTGGCGTGGAGCAGGGACGTAGACAATGTGAGCTGGGTTCTGAGGCGTGAGTAGGAGTTGGATGGAGGAAGGAGAGCAAGAAGGTGGTCAGGACAGAGCCAGTCTGGCAGTCCAACCCTCCCCTCTGCAGCCCGGGGAGCTGTCCCTGGTTCTGAGCTCCGTGCGGCTCAAACTTGGCTCCCGGGCTCTCTGTCCTGCTTTGCTTTTAATCCTGTTAACATAAAATTGACTTTTCAACCATTTCCAAGGGCACAGCTCAGTGGCCTGGAGCGCATCGAATCTCTCCGCTGTGCCGTCGCCGCCGCCCACCTCCAGGACTTTCCATCTCCCCAGCTGAGCTCTGTCCCAGGAAACGCTGATCCCCGTCCCCTCCCCAGCCCGGCACCTCCTCCTCCTTCCTGTCCCTGTGGATCTGACCACGCTGGGCCTCCTGGGGGTGGGGCCCTGCGCTGCGTGTCCTCCTGTGTCTGGCTTCCTTTGCTTACCTCAGTGTCCTTCGGGGGCATCAGTGTTGTAGCCCGTGTCAGAATCTCCTTCCTTTTTGGGGCTGAGCAATATTCCACTGTGTATATAATGCCACGGGCTGTGAGTTCAGTGTCAGTGAACTCATAACATGCGTTAAATGACGAGCGTCTAAACAGAAACAGACGTACAATACGGCTACGCATCAATCGATTGATGGGAATATTGTGACTAGAGGTTGGCAGGAACCTGGCCTTTCGCTTAGGAGCCGTGGTCAGTACACGAATTCAGTGTTCAGGCTGACTTTATTCAACAAAAGGAATGAGAATCAGCTGGGTTGTGAGAACCAGCTAAGACTGAGCAGAGAAATCGTTTAGCGCGATGCTTGTAATAAATAATAGGAGGAAAGATCTTGTGCCTGCAGAGGAAACCGGGAAACACCCACCTTCCTGAAGGGGATGCGGCCCTAACTATCTAATTAGAGCCACAGGGCCCTGTAAGGGAGCAGGTGTCATTACCACGCTGGAAGTTGGCCAGGGCATGGTGAGAGAGTGGGGCTTGCCAGACCGCTCCTAGTGGCCACCCGGTCCCGGACACCTGCCATCCCTGAGCTGACCAGGACGTTTTTGGCTCGGGGCTGCCGCAGTGCCCATCCAAGAATTAACTAGCTTCATATCTGAGAGCAAAGGAGCGCCACCCCGCCACTGTCGACAAATGTGCTTTTTTACTCCAGGTGTCTTGTAATATTCCAAAATCAAAAAACCAAGTGATATAGTGCACACGCCTGTCATTCCAGCCCTCTGGGAGGCTGAGGCAGGAGGATCACAAGTTCAAGCCCAGTCGATTGCATGCCTCGGCGCTTAGAAAGACTTTGTCTCAAAATAAAAAAATAAAAAGGGCGAGGATGTAGCTCAGTTTAAGAGTACTCCGGGTTGGGGCACCAGTGCTTCCTGCCAGACATACCAATACAAAAAGCAGAATGATTTGACATCTGAGTGAGGCTCCAAGTAAAAGATGGGTTTGTGGTAAGAGGCAGGGCCTAAGTTGAGATCCTCACTTCCGACAGGTTAAAGGAAGTCAGGGCACCAGGAGGGGGCGGAGCTTGTGGCGGGGCGGAGCTTGAACAGAGTCCTTCCTGTCTGAGTGAAGGCGGGGTTCAGAATAAGGGGCAGAGTTTCTGGCAAGGGGTGGGACTTGAACACTGCTCCTTTGTTCAAAGGAAGGCGAGGCCCAGCAAGGGGCGGGGCTTGAGCAGACTTCTGAGTAGTTGAAAGGAAGGTTGGGCTCCAATAAGAGCTGGGGCTGGGGCAGGGCGAGACTTGATCAGGGACTTCTGAGTGGTTGACAGGAAGGCGGGGCTGGAGTAAGCGGCGGGGCATCGTCCAGGGCGGGGCTTGAACCTGCACTCGGAGGGAAGGCGGGGCTCCACAGGGGTGGGGCCTGGGTGCGGGGCGGGGCCCGAGCGGCCACACTGGGGGTGGGACAGATGACGTCACCGGCCACCGGTTTGGGGAAGACGCCAAGATGGCGGCGAGCAGCTCCTCCCGCTTCGCGCAGTCCAGGTAATGGCCCGCTCCTCCTCCCGCCGCGCGGAACTGGACCTGGGGAAAGCCGCGCGCTGAGGAGCCGGAGGGGCGGCGTGGTGGTGGGAACGGGGCGGAATGCGCGCCGGGGTGGGATGGAGGAAGCTGGTTCCGGTTGCCATGGCCACAGAGCCGCGCGTCAGTCAGGGGTCTCCAGGACGTGGCTCTTGACGCGAGATGGAGCTCGAGCCGGAGCGGGGGATGGGCTCTGGGGTGGGCACCGGGGACACCTGAGGACGCCCGGAGAGGGGACCTGGCGGGCCCGGAGGGCAGAGGGGATTGAGACAGGGTACCTGGGGGGGGGGCTGGAGGGCACAGGAGGGGGGGGCCCTGGGACCTGATTGGGGGGCAGCGAGACCTCGGGACTGAGGACTCGGTAGGAGGAGACATCAGAGGCCTGGGAGGGGATGCTGAGACCTGATGGAGAGGAAGGGCAGAGAGTTGGGCTGCGGGCTTGACTTGGGGCCTGGAAAGACCTGAGAAGCTGTAGGAGGGTGGGCACCTGGGGAGGAGGGAGGGAGCAGGGACCTTGAGATTGACTGGGGGCCTGTTTGGATATTTAGGGACCATAAAGGATGGGACTCAGGAGTTTGAGGGGGGAGGGAGGGAAGGGAGACGGCAGAGGGTGGGGGCAGGAGACGCATGGGTGAGGACACTCAGACCACAGAGCACGCACACTGCATTGTTCTCCAAGGCTCGCTCCCAGGCTGCACTCCCCCATCAGGCAGCCAGGGCTGGCACCCTTAGAGGGGAACATGGCCCCTGTCATTCTTCTGGACCATCTTTGGGCCAGTTTGCAGCTGGTGGACTGGTGCAAACTCTTGGGACGGTTTCCCAGCCCCTGCTGAGTGCGATGCGAACTGTCCCTCTGGCACCTCAAAGACAAGTGTCCCCGGGGAGCCTGGGGCCTTTGCACACATTTCACTGACAAAGTGGACAGTAGATGCCAGGGGCAAGCTTTTGGGCCCGGCCCAGTGCTTGTGCTCTTGCATGGTTCCTTCTAATAGAAACCTCAAGAGCAGCCAGCCATTTCATGAAAACCGGAAGTGTGGGAGACAGGTGGGCGCATAATGGGCACCCCAAGTGGTTTCTCGGGTGTCGTGCTGGGCTGTGAATTTCCTCTTGTGAAGAAAGCTCAACCTGCTGTTTTCCCTAAACAGAGTTCTTCATTTTTCTTTCCTATTCCCATCCTCTTTGGTCGCATTTGGATGGCCAGGTCTAGGTTGAGATGTAGGCGTGGCCAGTTGCTTGGCAACATGAGGCCCCAAGCCCGCCCACTGCTAGCTCTTTCCTTTCTGCCTCCAATGCATCTTTTCAATTAATTCCATGTGAACAATACCTTAAATGTTAGGCCATTAAGATTCCCTTCCATTCAGGCACAGTGGCGCGTGCCTGTCATTCCAGCTATTTAGGAGGCTGAAGCAGGAATATGGAAAGTTCAAAGCCAGCCTGGACAATTTAACAAAGCCCTGTCTCAAAAAATAAAAAGTGGGGCCAGGGATTTAGCTCAGTGGTTCTGCCACCTGCAAACGCAAGGTCCCGAGTTCCATCCTGGGTACAAAAAAAAAAAGTAGTAATAACAATGAAAAATAAAAATAAAAAGGGCTGAGGGCCTTGAAATGGAACCCAGGGGCTCATGCATGCAAAGCAAGCACTCACCACTGAGCTATACTCCCAGCTCTTTTGATTTTATTTTGAGACAGGATTTTGCTAGTTGCCCAGGCTCAGCTTGAATTATGATCCTCCTGCCTCAGCCTCTTGAGTAACTAGGACAGCAGGAATGAGCCACCATGCCTGGGAACTTAGGGGTTTTGAGTTTATTTTCTTGGCTTGTAAAATTGATAACCGCAGCCCTTGATGAAATATTCCTTTTATGGTCTTCTAAGAATAAGGTTGGGATCATAACAAGGCTTTTGTTGTTTGGTGCTGGGGATGGAAGCCAATACCTCACATGTACCAGGCAAACACTCTACCATTGAGCAGTGTCCTCAGCCTTTTTTGTTTTTGGTTTTGAGATAAGGCCTTGTTAAGTTGCCCAGGCTGGCCTTGAACTTTCGATCCTTCTGCCCCAGCCTCCCAAGTGCTGGGATTACATGCCTGCACCATCACGCCCGGCTGGCCATACTCTTGAAGGCAGAAGAGAAGTTTGCAACTACCTGTTGATAATATGGATTCTCATTTTATTTTATGTGGTCCTGTGGATCTCATAATCCTTTTATTGAGTGCTTCAGATACTCAGAATTCAGGACATTTGAATCTGGCAGTGCTGTTAATTAGAATGGAAGGCGGATTTTAGTTGTGAGGCCATGAGTGCTGAGGGAATGCGATTTGGTGCAGGTGGTACAGACAGCAGAAGCGGAATGTGGGGAAGACACTGGTAGAGCCCAGCCACAGCTGCCCGTGTCCCTGGGGGCATATGTCTCTTCCTTGAGTAGTTCTCTCAGAGTCCCACTGGGATGATGGATTTGGCCACCTTTTTGCATTTTTAAAAATTGAACCCAGACCTTTTGCACTGAACTCCATCCCCGGCCCCTTAAAAATTTTTTTCTTTTGAAACAGGATCTCTCTGAGTCACTAAGTTGCCCAGGCTGGCCTTGAACTTGTGGAGATCCTCCTGCCTCAGCCTCCCAAGAGCTGAGATTACAGGTGTGCACCACTACATTCAGCTTCAAAAGCATTTTCAAATGAGCTTTGTAGAGGACCTTCCACTGTGGGTGTCACTGGGTTCTTCGTGGGCACAGAGGTGAGGGGACAAGGACCCTCAACCTGGAGAAACACCTGGGTAGACCTGAGAGAAGCAGGAAAGGCACAAGAAGGGCATCCTCTGCCTTGGGCACTTCCTCTTTACATCATTTATTTGGGATTGAGACTTTGAGAAACTTCCCACCTGAGATTGCACGTGGCCCACAAGGCAGCTGTTCTCTCCTCTGTCATCCACAAATAGGGTGAGAGCCAGGGCAGCAGGTTGTCCCGGCTTCTGGGAGCCCCCAGCCCCTGCTGGGTGGAAGCCTCTGGTGCTGGCAGAAGAGTACCAGAGCTTGTGGGACCGGCCCCCCAGGGACAGCTCAGGGAGATGCCAGGCAGCCCCGAATAGTCATTTAAGGAGCCCTAGAGTACTTCAGCCGAAGGAAGCATCTCCTTGTCTTCCACCCTTGGTCACCTTCCAGAGGTCTGAGGACATGTGCCAGTTTCAGTGTCCACCGTGGCTCTGAGTTGTATGGGGGCTGACGGGACTTGGCCACCTGGCCAGGTGATGCGAGCTAACTCAGGCTGCAGGCCGAACTTGAACTTGTGATCCTCCTGCTTCAGCCTCCTAAGTCGCTGGGACAACAGGTGTATGCCACCGGCTCACTTCCCTTTCCTTTTCTGTGTTCTTCTGGGGTTTTTTAGTGGTACTAAGGATTGAACCCAGGGCCTTTGCACTGAGCTACATCCCCCGGCTTTTTTAAAATTTTGAGACAAGATCTCACTAAGTCACTAAGTTGCCCAGGTTGGGCTGGAACTTGGTGTCCTCCTGCCTCAGCCTCCCAGAGTGCTGGCATGACAGGTGTATATGCCATTCCAAGCTTTACTTCCCTTTTCTTAAAGCAAGTGCAAGGCATCCAGGCCGTCCGCGCCTCTGGAAGCTGACTTTCTCTGCCTGCTGTGTGCCGCTGAGCTTGTGTCATGTTGTCGTTCTGAAGTCGCAGGATCCCCTCAGTTAGAAGCCCTTTGGTGGATGTTCGGGGAGTGAGATGCTGTATGTGGTGGGTGTCTTGGGCAGGACGCCCACCAGGTAGGCGTCCTGGGCACATCTCTTCCGACCGCCTTTGACAGCGACTGTGCTCCGGGTCCTTTCCTCATCCGTCCTGGCCAGGAGTGGAGACTTTGCCTCCGTCTCATTCTGCAGCAGTGTCTCTGAAAGTCCCTTCCGTTGCGTGAGGTCCTCTCCTTGGAGGGTCTGCCCCCCAGGAGCAGAGCAAACTCCAGCTTCTGAATCCCCTTGGATCAAATGTTTTAGAAAGCCAGTGGGTGGCTTTTTATTTTGAGACAGAGTCTTGCTCATTTTCCCAGGCTGGGCTTGAATTTGCGATCCTCCTGCCTCAGCTTCCCAGAGTGCTGGGATGACAGGTTCGCACCAACCATGTCCTGCTGCCAGTGGCTTCTTCAGTCTGAATGTCGTCAGTCACATCTGGGGCTGGTGGGTCTGTCTGTGTCTGTTGCGCTTGCTCACAAAAACCCTGAGCTGGGTGCTGTGTGCGCTTCCTTTTCCTGTCCACCAAGGCGCCTGTGCTAGGCCCAGCGTTTCCATCCCTGAAGGCAGCAGGGGAGGGCTGGGCTGCTGGCCGCTGCCCTGCTGTTCCTGACCTTGAGGTGTGGAGCCTGCCCTGGCTAGAAGCACTGTCCCCGGAATGCCACCTCCTGCTCTCCCTCCCACCTGCCCAGCAGTGCCGCCGTCCAGCTGATGCCCATGGCGCCTGACTCAGGGGCTGCCTCGGAGCCGCCCCTCCCTGCTGGATACTGTGCTCCTTGCATGGGATGTCGGGGGAGCCCTGGAGCCTGCTGCTAGCTCCATCAGGCACACTGCAGTGGAGTCTGCCGGGGAGCCGGCCAGCCAGGCTCTGTCCCCAGGGAGTCTGGGGTGGAGGTGGCCTCTGACTGGGCCTTGAAGAGGCAGCTGCTGGTGAGGGTGATGGTAAAACCCTGCTGTTGCTTCCCAGAGCACAAGGACATAGGTAAGGGAGCTCCTCTCCGGTCGTCACTGGGGTCCATGGGGAGCCTGGGCCTGTACAGGGCGTTATGCTGAAGGCTTTCAAGGGAAAAAGAAAGAAAAAGCATCAGTTAAAAACACCACAGCTGTCATATTGCATGTGACATGTGGGCCAGGGGAGTGCCTGACTGGCATGTGCCAGGCCTTGGGTTCCATCCCAGCACCCCAGAAAAAAAATGTACAATGGGCTTTAGATATAAAGCTCTTGTGAATGGAAGTGCCAGATGAC